TCGAGCTGCAAGTAAGGCAAATCACTATGCGGGAACTTTCAACCCGTCTAGATCTACCCTCCTTACTGCTGCTTTTTCAACGAATGGTGGTCTTGGCAAAGGCACCAATCGACTCATCGTTGGTATCGCCAATCACTTGGCGCACTAAGCTTTTTGCCGGGGGAATTTCGAAGACGAAAGAGCCTTAGTTCGCCTGAAAGCGTTTCATACTAACAGGATTCAAAGACGGTTTACCTTCGAGCTAGCTCGTTTTCTGTCGATGCGAACTCGCGATGTGTTCAAACGCCATGGATGGGCTACTGATCGACCAACTTCCACCAGGGCCAATCGGTTGGGATCTCTGCGACAACGATAGTAGTGAGGGTAATTCTTTTGGGAGTGACGAAGACGAAGGAAAGGGAAAAGGAAGAAAGGAGGACGAAGACCATGGAGCAGAAAAACATGGAGGAGTGGAAGAGAGCAAAGGGTTTGAGCCAGATGACCTTCCCCACAACAAGAAACGTAGGGCTAGGGAAGAACTGCCCAGAGATTCTTCTTGTCGAAATGAGGATCAGAATGATGGTAGCGAAAACAAGGAGGACACTGGTGAAAGTACTCCTAAACGAACTCGAGTACTAGGTAATAGCCTTGGTAGACGCGTGCATTTTTCGTCTGTTGCTGCTGTTTCTGTTTTTAATCCGAAGGATAGTTTAGCCTCCCCCATGCTGCCCCCTCACGGGGTCCCAGTTCATGGTAGATAGAAGTGTTTTGTGTTTTCAACCGCACTAAGACTGACGTCTTTTCATTGGTCAGCCGGTTAGCGCGGTCGATGCTAATAATAAAAACACACACACACACACACACACATACACGAAAACGATCATCATGATGGCGATGAGGGAAATTCGAGTGGCAACGATGAAGGAGGAGGAACAGAGGGAACAAGAGGAGGACAAGACAGAGACCAAGACAGCAGTCGAGAAGGGAATCATGGCGTGGAAGAGAGCAAGAGCTTCGAGCCAGAGGACCTCCCGCACAACAAAAGACGGAGAGACAGACAAGAAGAAGAGCTGCCAAAAAGTTGCTGCCAAAATGACGATGAGAATAGTGATGGTAGTAGTGGTGAAAGCAAGAAGAATGATAGAGAGAGCACTCCTAAACGAAGTCGAGTGCAGGGTGACAGTCTTAGTAGACACGTGCAGTTTTCTTCTGTTATTACTACGGTATCTGTCTTTAATCCTGAGAATAGCGTAGCTCCCCCTACGACGCTCGGTCCCGGGGTCCCAGATAGTGGACTATAGAAACATTTTGTGTTTCCCGCCGCACTGAGACTGACGTCTTTTCATTGGTCAGCCGGTTAGCGCGGTCGATGCTAAGCATGAAAGCACACACATGCTAGAGCGTCGGGCGCCAGGATGACATGACCATTTCTGGGTACAAAATTGACCTCTTCCGGGTATACCAGTATCCAATATCGGTCACACCAGAGGGTCCTAATTCCAGCGCAAGTTGTACCTGATGGAGGGATCTTCAGAAATGGGTACAATGGTTTTTCGGGCAATCAGCTGACAGCCTGGGGGCGCAGGCGTTTTGATTTCATACTGTACCCTAAAGTGGTGATAAAGTACCCGGGTAAACCCGTTTCTGGTTATTGGTCAAATAAAAAGAAAAAAGCCCTGGTGGTTACCCCCTCCTGTGTGACCCTGGATGGTTGTAGTTGTACGAAAAAATACACTGGCAAGTGTAGTACTCTACATACGCTGAAAAGTGTAGTACGCGCCTCACCACGAAAAATGGGGGGACTGTCGCCATAGGACGAAAACACACACACACACACACACAC